TAGCTGACCGCTCCATAGGCTGCTCATCTTTGCAGAAGCTCACCGTTTGATACGCGCAGTGGAGTGCGGAGCTAAAGTGGTGTCTGTAAACAACCACCATGCATCGAATGTCAGTGTAATTTAGCGGTCGGATTGTGTGTGATGTTAAAATAAACATCCAGCACTCGTTATCGTATTTTGAACTTACACCATACATTTTTAGGAACTCTGGGGAGCATAGCGGTTTAGTGGTATTTCGGGCTGATGATAACAACGCAAATGAAAGAATATTGAAATGAAATGCTTTATCTAAAGTCTGGTTTTGAGTGACCTCTATATTCTTGCGCATATCGTTATTATCGGCCCTTATCAGCGTAATCCTTTCCGTCCCACCCCCTACATCACTTCTTGGAACCAACGCCTCACTGATGCTGGGACGCGCGCTATGGATATCGTGGAATTGGCTGGCGCCTCTTATCGGATCTTATCAGTCGTTATCACTTTGGTCCCCCACCAAAGATGTTCCCGTCCTACCCTCTACATCACTTCTTGGAACCAACGCCTCACTGATGCTGGGACGCGCGCTATGGATATCGTGGCGTTTTGGCGCCTCTTATCGGATCAGTCGTTATCACTTTGGTCCCCCACCAAAGATGTTCCCGCCCTACCCCCTACAACATACTCAAAATACAGCGCTCCACTGTTGCAGCGAAGGGCGCTATGAATTTCGTGACAAACACACGTACACACATACACACGCACAGACATACTTAGCGAATTATATACATACCAGATTGGTCCCCGCCAGCCACCGGGACCTCCCTTCACTGCATAATCTTGACGCCTTCCACTGTGAAAAGATTTCCTCCACCTTCTCTCCATTTCCTCCTCTCCTCTCTCCACTGCTCTACCGCCATTGTAGCACCATGTGAATAACCAAGAGTGTGCTAAGTAGGTGTTTATATAGCCCTGTTCTGTTATCACAACCATGCCATTGCAAAACAGTGATAGGGCAAGCCCTGCGAGCTACCCAGATTTGTTAGCGGCTGTTTATTCCATTAGCTGCCTTATCACTCACTTCATTTTGCGGACGGACAGACAGACGTGCATACATACACACAAACCGACACACCAAACTTCTGGTTTATATAATGAAGTAGAAGTGATAGTAGGATAATCAACATGGCGGAGGGTTGGTCCTCAAGAGAAACTTTTCCATTGGTAGCCACAGAGAATGTAGAGTATCATAAGGAAGTGAACTTGGTGACGCGGAGCAACGAAGTGAAGAAACAGTTGCAGGCTTACCCAACTTTGGATGACATTGAGAGTGATTGGGGAACAGAAGAAGAAGAGCAGAAAAGGAAGAGCCACCTATGGGAAGAGGGACGGTGAAGTTGGAAAACTGAGTTTGAAGCTTGACAAAACAAGAATTGGAACAAAAGAGCTTTGCGAGCCGCACGCGGAGAGAAGAGTGTCACATACCCACCGTAAAACTGGTGGAGGTGAATCCGTGGAGGAAAGCGAGGTGAGCTCACGTAAGACCAGTGCAAACTTTCTGCTATGGCTCCTATTCCATAATGAAAGTGAAGATGAAAGTATATTCGCTCTTGCATTTTCAGCAACAACGTGAAAGCGAATCGGAGTGAACAGGAAAACAATATAAGGCAACTTGATAACTGTCACAGTATCTGCAATTAAGAATATTAACTAATGAATCTTTAATTGTTTTGGGTTCGCATCAATTACCGAATTCATTCGTCAATGAGACTCATGACATGAATGAATAACCATATTTTCAGCATTGTTATACCGGATGGTAGAAGAGTGCATCAGATCCACACTCAGAGGTGATGGCCAGATGCCAAGGCCTACACAGAAGATGAGGAACGAGGTGATTACGTCGTGACGGTGATCATCCCTAACATCGCTAGTAAAACCTGCGCCTTAATAACGTGGTGAACCTTGTGTATGTGCTTCATAGACGCTTCGGAGTCGCTGCATCACGTACACGGAAACTGGCTAGTAGCATTGAGGTGGTGATATGGGAGTGGACGGGGGATATGTTAGCGCAGTAGTGGTACCACGTCCTCGGATGTGTTGATGTGTATTCACTTCAAAGTATCAAGTCCCGTGGCATGATCTGTATTAACCCGCCCTTGTTGAATGGGAGTCGTTCAAAGTGAAAGGAGTATACGTATGATCGCTCATCTGCACCTTCACCAAAAAAAAGTTTTCTTCATGTAGAACGGTCGTGATTCAACCGTTCAAGAGAGTACTCCCTAGCACATTAAATCATGACCCCTGTCGTGACTTGCGTACGACCTGAAGCTTTACGGTATGCAAGTGATGAAAGCGCGCTATAATATTGGGTTGTCGGAAAAGTCTTTGGCGATTTGTCAATTTTTTTTCTAACTTACTTTTCTTCACAGTGAGCAATTTAAATATATGCCCCACCTTAATCGCCAACATATTGCCTTTAGCAGGTAACTCGTGGATGGCGTTTGTCTGGAAATACTGAGCTTTTAAAGCAAAAACCTTGAAGAAGTTCTCTTAAGTAGGTTCGGATCATTGAGCTCTCCCTCTTTTGGTTGATTTGACAGCAATGGAAGCAGATGGTGTCTGTTAGTGCCGGGCCTGCTGAACGCAACAGGTGGGACAGAACGTCCCATAACGGGCTTGGAGACTTTTGCTGAACCTTCTTCCAAATTCGTTGACAAGCGTTGCCTGGATAAAGTAAACTTTTCCATGTTTCTAGAGGCGCTTCTAGAGGCCCTGGCGAACCCATCCATTTGCCCATATTATGGTTTAACAATAATAGGTGCAGTTC